ATAGTAATGTCTCCAGGAGCTTCTATTCATTGACTATGAATCCCTAATATCTGAGAAGGAGGTACCAAATAAAATATGCATTAAATATCACTAGTATCCACTTATAATGGAATCCAGCATGTTAAAGTTCATTCTGCACCTTTTGCAGGAGTTTTCTTAATCCATTTAGTTTAATTTCTAGCAGAGGTCGATTCGGGGGGGATCGCAGTTCCCCCGGGTGAGGGGCAGGGGGCGGGGCCCATTAAAAGTTTATTCTGGAGGAAAAACAGAGCAACCATTCCATAGATTACTTGTTGCATTGTGACAGTGTTAGGACCACGTGGACTGGGAACGGGGAAACTTTGGCAGCCCAGCCTATTATTACTGACCCTATCCCAGTTATAAAGGACTGCATGCTTATTATGAAATGAATTCAATTTCGAAGCCATGGCAGTTCCAATAACCCAGCATAAGTCTTATTTTTCTTCAGTTCGGAAAAAAGAAGCTAATTAGTTGTAGATTTTCCGGGATGTATGGCTGCAGTCTTGGCATTGTAGGACCTGATGTTTTGCCAGCAGCTGTGACTGGCATCCTCAGAGGTATAACACGGACAGATGGAGTCCTCTCTGGGTCAAGGTGAGAAGAAAAATGGTAGGCCGGTAACTTCCTAAGTCTACCTAAATCCAGTTTCTTTAAAAGTTTCTTTAAAATTCAGAAACAGCATCTTAACAAAAGGAAGAATTCACCGAGGTGTGCGTAAGGGAAAGACCCAATTAAAGAAAACACTCTTGAATCTCTGTCTCCGAATCAAAGTTACAGTAACTCATTAGAGAAATATCAGTAATCTTCTAACTGACTAGCAAAGGCTGAGCTGGGAAGCAAACAGTACTCTTGGCCACTTGAGACTCGAGCTTCTTCATGTCTCTGGGTGGGCTGGAAACCTCTCCCTGTGGCCACACAGTAAATAATCACTCCCTTTTTCTTGGAAACCTAGAGCAGAGAGCATTTCTTCCCCAGAGCAGAGCTGAATTGCCCAGCTCCCAGTGGCAGCCATTTTGTGCTTCTGGCACTTCTGCATCAGCCAATTTGGTTGGGAAGAAGTACTTTTCTCCCTTTCTCACAATACAAGAACTCGTGGGCACTCCATGAAATTGCTGAGCAGTCGGGTAAATAGAACGGATAAAAGGAAGTACTTCTTCACCCAAAGAGTGGTTAACACGGAATTCACTGCCACAGGAGGGGGTGGCGGCTACAAGCATGGACGGCTTCAAAAGGGAATTAGATAAGCATATGGAGCTATTAGCCACAAGGTATACTCTGGGGCAAGTGATGCTCTGTATTCTTGGTGCTTGGGGAGGGTCAATAGTGGGAGGGCTTCTAGTGTCCCGGCCCCACTGCTGGACCTCCTGATGGCACCTGGTATTCTTGGCCACTGTGTGACAGAGTGTTGGACTAGATGTGCCATTGGCCTGATCCAACACTGGCTTCTTTTATGTTCTTAATACAGGAATAAAGGATGTTAGTCTCTAAAGCCACTGGATTTCTCTTTTGGTTTTGACCCAAAGCAGGAGAGATCGTTCACTGGTTATTGGCAGGTAGAAGGCATTTTGGAAGGTCCCACTTGGCTTCTCTGAGGATCTCTGCACCTGCTGATAATGTTTTTCCTAACAGTAGGGAAGCTTCTTCGTGCCACCCTACGGGCTTGGCTCTCTGGGGGAGATTTGCCAGGCGAGGGAGGGAGAGAACAAGAACTTTGGGTGACCCTTTGCAAACTTGGGTGGAAGCAGAAGTCCTGCATCACATGCTGTATAGTAAGTTAATGGGAACTAACAGGGCATGTGACCACCACTTGATGATATGGCTTTAAAGGGGGGGAGGGAATGAGACAAGATTGATGGAGGTGGCGAGGTCTATCACGGGATTAGGTGTGGTGGCACTGCTGTTGCCTACGAAAGCTCCTCCGCCAGTGTCACCTTCCATTAATGCAGCTGCCCAGTAGGTATCCTTCAAAGATTCCTCGGCCCCCATGGCCATTGGAACTGTCCGTTCTTTTCTGCTGATGTGGCCGTTGATCCTCAAAGGGGGCGGGTGCTTCTTTATCTGGTGTCTCAGCTGTGACCATTCTGCCTTGAGTGACTCCGCGTAGAGATTAGCCTCTTGACATTTTATGGTGTTGCTTCCCGTTTCGCTGAAACACACATAACCCTCGCCAGTGTTCCCTCTAAGCTGAGTTAGTGTGAGCTGGCTCGCTGTTTTTTTAGCCTCCGGCTCACACATTTTTTTCTTCGCTCAGGAAGGAGGGCTCCAGAGCAAACTAATTTGTGCAGCAACGAAATCACTCGCTCACAGCTTTAATGCCAGTCGCGCCCGGATAATCCGCCCACCTTCTGTGCCTCTCCAGCTGCAACTTTGCCATGTGACCAGGGCCTTAATAATTCTTTAATAAGTTTCTACAAATTTGTTTGGAAAAGATATTAGGCTAATGGCCCATAAGTCCCTGTGGGCCCCTTTTTCAGAACTGTGCTCTGATACCTTAGAAGGTGGTGCCTGGCTAGTAAAAGGAATGAATCCAGGCCCTTCATTTATAATGAAATGGGATCAGAGGACAGAAAAGCTTCAGTCATGAGATGGCACCAAAGTCTCATCAAAAAATGAAGCAAACACTTGAAATAAAGAGCTCAAGCTTGGCTCACTTCGATCATGTGACAGTTCAAGTACCTTCTGTGCCCGGTGGGCTAGAGCTGACACTACCAGGCAGCCTCCCCAATGCCTTCCTGCCGGAGCCTGGATTTTAAACAGCAGAAAGCAAAGGCTGGTGGCATCTTAAAGAGTAACATGATTTATTCTAGTAGGAGCTTTTGTGAGACAGGGCTTGCTTCGTCAGATACAATGGGAAGGAAAAAAACTCATTAATGTCATCAAGGGTCCTATATCACACACGGTATAGTCAGTTTATGGAAACAACTAGGGGGATGTGATGCCCATTCGATTATATGGTTTTAAAGGGGGATAAGATAGATTCATGGAGTTGGCATGGTCCATCAATGGCTGTTAGATATGATGGCTAAATGGCACCCCCATGTTCCAAGGCAGTCTACCTCTAATGCTGGTCGCTAGGGGCCATTCTGTGGGGCGGCTGTTTGTCCCCTGTGGGGGCTTCCCACATGCCCGCGGCTGGCTACTTCGGGAAACAGGATGTTGGATGCGACAGACCTTCGCTTTGAACCAGTGGGGCTCTTCTGTTCTTCTGAAAGGCACAGGGCATGTTGATTGGGTCAATATGTGTTCTAGTCGGGAAAAAGAGATTGAGTTTCTAGACACTCTGAATGACTGTGCTATGGAGCAGATGGTCACGGAACCTACCAGGGGAGAGGCGATCCTCGATTTGGTCCTCAGTAACACTCAAGACCTGGTGAGAGATGTAAAAGTGATTGCATCGCTTGGGAACAGTGATCATAATGTTGTTGAGTTCAACATTTGTATAAATAGGGAATTGGCCAAAAAGACTATTTAAATACCTGTTTGTGCCTTTCCTAACCTGCGGAATATTTTTTTTTGAGCTTCTAGGATCATAGTTTTAAATAGTTTCCAAGCTTCCCCAATGGTTTTGACCCTTTCTACTTTTCCTTTCAGTTTCTTCCCCACATGTCCCCTCATATCAGAGAAGTTACCCCCTCCCCCCAGGTTCAGTGCAGCCCACCCCCCGGATCTTTGTTTGCTCCTGTCCTGAATATTAAAGAGCCTGGAGAGAAAGACCGGCTGCCAGTGAGAATTCCTGGAAGCAGAGAAGTAAGAAAGGGAGAGTGAGGGTGGGAGGTCCTGAAGAGAGCCAGAAGCCGAATAGGGGGAAACGTTCTCTTCCAACATATTTTCAACCTTTGCCCTTGTTGCAGGGAACTACAATTCCCAAAATCCCGTGCAAATTAGAGAGAGGATTGGACGGATTCAGATGACTGAATCT